AATGGGAGGTGAGAATACTACCCTGAACTGCTACCGCCACAGCGCTAACAGATGCCGTTGTTGTTGTTGTTCGGTGCCGTCGAGTCAATTTTCAACTCACAGCAACCCCATGTGACAGAGTAGAACTGCCCCGTAGGGTTTCCTAGGCTGTAATCTTTACAGAAGGCAGATTGCCAGGTCTTTCTCCCACAGAGCCACTGGGTGAGTTCGAACTGCCAACCTTTTGATAATCAGCTAAGTGCTTAACCATTGCTCAGTAGCAGATAAACTCCCAAATCTCAGTGCCTGGACGCCACCAGAGTCTATTTCCTGCTCATTTAGAAGTCCTACCAGAGCGAAGCACTCTCCTCCACACAGTCATTCAGGGACCCTGGCCGATGGGAGCTCCACCATCATCAACATGGGGCTTCCAAGGTGCCCTGCTCTGACAGGCAGGGAGAGAGAGAACACGGAGGGTCATGCAGGGGGTTACGTGGTCCCAGCCCAGAGGCGGTGCACCTCACTGCCCCCATGCTCCACTTGCTCTGTCACTCTGTCCCCTCCCCCGCCGCCCTGGATGTGAGTGGGCTGGGCAGCAGGTCACTGGCTGGGTGGGCACAGCCCAGCAATGACAACACTCTATAGAAGGACAGCTGGCTATTCCATCTGGAACAGGGTTTCTCACCCACAGCACCACTGACATGTTCTGGGATCATAGTCTGTGGTGGGGACTGTCCTGTGCACTGTAGGGTGTTGAGCAGCACCCCAGCCTCTACCCACTAGATGCTAGTAGCACCTCCCCATGGTTGCAACCAAAAAAGTCTCTAGGAATTATCAAATGTCACCTGGGAGGAAGTCAGCCCTAGTTGAGAACCACTGACCTAGAGAGTCGGTCGAAATGGAGACAAAACAGAGGTACGGAGGCCTTCTGGGCAAGGAGAGAGGTTAGGGTGGGAGACGAGCTCATCAGCTTGCAGGCAGGCAGGTGGCCCTGAGGGGGTCAGGTTGTGCCCAGGTGGGCCCATTGCAGACTTTGCTAGACACGCTCCTGCAGTAGCCATGGCAACAGGAATGGCTGGGAACGCGTACCCCGTGTCCTCCTCGAGTGCCACTGCCCATCAGGACTGTTGGTGGCACTCACGCTGATTTCTCTCAGCCCTG